TCTTTTTTGTTTTAATTGTTAACATTTTTTACATTTTATTATTAGTATTAATTATTTGTTTTTTTTTTCCTTTTGTTATTTAACAGGAATTCAAGTTGAAGGAGATGATGAAAGCTGTTGTGTGGTTTGCATGAGTATTAGAGAAACAATGGATTTGATTTTTTATGTTGTAATGGAATTTTTTTTTTAATTTCAATTTTTGGGTAACCTATCCCTTGCGGGTTGTGCTTGAGACTAATTATTCTCTTTGCAACTTGTTGAATTTTCTTGTGTGTATGGGCTGCTAGATAGATGTTTTGTTGTTTGTGCTATTTTGTTGAACATGATGCTATTTTCTCTGCTGGACAGATTTATTGAATACTTGACAGATGCTTTTTTGTTTAGGATATATTGATTTGAATAGGATGCTGCTGGACAGATTTATTGAGGACATATTGACAAATGCTATTTTGTTGTTTAGGATATATTGATTTGAATAGGATGCTATTCTGCTGGACAGAGTTATTGATAGATGTTATTTTGTTCTTTACAGATAGAAAATATGTTGACAAATATCATATTTGAAACATGTTTAAATTGGATGTTTACAGATTTTTTTAATTTGAAAATATGTTGACAAATATGTTTGAATTGGATGTTTATAGATTTTTTTTTAATTCGCAAATATGTTGACAAATATATTTCAATAGGATTAGGATGTTTACAGATTTTTATAGATAAAAAAAAAAAGAAACCACCGGGGATTTTTCGGGGTCGGGGATCCCCGATCCCCGATCGGGGGCGGGGACGGGGGCGGGCTACAGGTCCCCGTCGAGGATCAGGACCGGGATGGGGCCGGGGACTACACTCTCTGTCCCCGAAAGTGATATATTCCTCGTCCCCGTTTAAAGGTAAAATTCACTTTATTTCTTTCTTGTGGTTTTCATCTCGAAGCATTTTATCTCTTATAGTTCAAATATAGATAGAGAGCACCATAGTTTTGAATTAAGTGCAAAACTAACCTTGTTAGTAATAGTAACAAAATTACCTAAATACTGTTATACAATATTCTTTTTCTCTATTCTCTATTACATATATTTTTCTATCTTAATAACATATTTAACAAATTAAATCATAAATTAACTTAAGCACTCTAACTTATTACCATAAAATTATTTTAATCTAATTTTTAATTTTTAACCAAATTTCTTATTTAATAACATTTTAAATTAAACATACATATTATATATATTTATTTAATAAATTAAATCATAAATTAACATAAATACATTAATTTATTACCATAGAATTACTTTAATCTAATTTTAAAATTTTATTAAAATTTCTTATTTAATAACATTTTAAACTAAATTGTTGATAGAAAATGACAGTTAAGCTTAAGGTTAGAATTTTGTTTGGAATATGATTTAATTTGGAGAAGAAGATGAATATGAGACTATTTTTGACATTTGATCCTATTTTTTACTTTGATTTGGAATTTTTGGATTGTCCACTCTTAATTCGGGAGTGTGGCACACTTTGTTATTTTTAATGGAAAAACTAACGGTAACATTTTAATATAAAATTATAAGAAAGTTCTATGCATATATTTAAACTATAGAGAGAAAAAGTACTCCAAAGCAAAACTATACGCAAGTAAAGTTTTACCTTATTTTTTATATAACATGTATCCTAATAATACTTTTTAAAATTAAACTAGGATAAATTACACCGTTGGTAAAGCAATGTAACCAAGGGAAGAAGGAACTACCTTGTAGGATGGGGATACCATGATACTACTTATGAGCAGGGACGGACCCAAGTGTAGACGGTAAGGGGCCATGGCCCCCCTGCCTTGGCTCAATTGCTTTTGTATACTGCTACTACTTTATATTCATTTCTATGTGTACGTGTATTGGCCCCCCCTCAGTTGATAAATGTTCTGTTTAATCTTCACCCCCACTTTCTTATTTTTTTTATTCTGCTTTTAACTCGAATAATTTCATGGGCACTCTATGTGAAAAAGTATTCACGTTGTATTTGATTAATGAATTTGGATAGAAATTTAAAAAGGAAAAGAGAAAAAATAAGTAAATTATGAACAAAATATATAATTATATTTCATATACATATATATATTTTTTCTTTTTGTAAATTTCTACTCAAATCAATGAATCAAACACAATCTTAATATAACCCACTATTATATTTCTGTTGCCTCTTGTTATTCTCTCTTCTTTTTGTTTTCCCTTCTTCTTGTGTTTTATTTTATTCTATTTATATTTTTTTCTTCTTGTGTTTTATTCTCTTTTCTAACTCCACAGTAGAACAATTATATTATGATGATTATATTTTTATGCCTAGTTCTTTTTATAATATTATATATTATTGCATTAGTATAATGAGTTCTATAATTCATATTTGTTGCTAATGCTATAATATTATATTATATGATAAATAAAATGTGATAAAATCTTATTCTCTCTTTTTTGTTTTTTTTAATTTTGAAATTTTTTGTTTTCTTGTGTAGTGCTTACTGCTTAAGTGAGTCTGTCTGGTTTCGACCATCCTCGGACCAAGCATCCTGGTCTGACCGGTCACTTCCCGACCGAGCAACTTCTGCACGGTCCGGGGCGGCACACCGTCCAAACCTTGCCCGACCCAAGTTCTGGTAGCCCATCTCCGGGTGAACAGTTGATCATCTCGGCCCAATGCACTGCTGGGCCCTCAGCTTGCTCGGTCGATACCCCGGCCCAACACCGGATCATAAATCACCCTCTCAGAAATTTTTTGTTTTCTTGTGTAGTGCTTACTGCTTAAGTGAGTGGTTTTTCAAAATAAAAAATGCAATTTGGTCGGTAAAAAAAATCTTAATTTAGAAAAAAAATAAATCTACATTAAATGAATATTTTTATTCTGGATTTTGGCCCCTTGAAGGATAAAATCTTGGTTCCATCCCTACTTATGAGTCAACCATACATTACTTTTTAAAGATATTAAAGATATTAAATTTTCTTTCAAATAAATGATCAAATGTCTCACATGGATGTAAGGTCCACAAAAATGTGAGATTTGCACCCATGTGAGACATTTTGGTCATTTATTTTATAGAAAATTTGAGACCTATAACATTTTCTAATGTAAATGGGTAATGTTAGAGATACTAAATTTTCTACCAAATAAATGACCAAATGTCTCATATGGGTGTAAGGTCCACAAAAATATGAGATCCACACCATGTGAGTCATCTAGTCATTTATTTTGTAAAAAATTTGGACCTATAACATTTTTCCATTGTAAATGGATAATGTTAGAGATACTAAATTTTCTACTAAATAAATGATCAAATGTCATACACGGGTATAAGGTCCACAAAAATGTGGAGTCCACACCAATGTGAGACATTTAGGCCTCGTTTGAGAACAGGCTAATTTAGTAACATTTTGACTATTTGGCTAAAAAGATAGGTAAAAAAAACTTGCGTGTTTGGGATGATTTTTTGGCTAATTACGAAAAGATGTGCAAAAAGTAGAGAGAAAAGAGAATCTTTGACTTTTTGGTATGAGTTGTTAGCTTTTTGACTAATTTAGTAACTTTTTGGCTAATTGGCTAAAAAAGTAAGTCCCCAAACGAGGCCTTAGTCATTTATTTTGTAGAAAATTTGAGACCTATAACATTTTTCAATATAAAGGGTAATGTTAGAGATACTAAATTTTCTACTAAATAAATGATCAAATGTCTCACATGGGTGTAAGGTCCACAAAAATATGGGTTCTACACATCATGTGAGACATTTGGAATGTGTTTGGTTTGCTTTTGAGAGAGTGATTTTAAAAAAAAAAAAAAAATTTGGGGAGAGAGTTTATAAATTTTTTGGTCTGTTTGGTTATATATTTTGAAAGTAGTTTTGAAATTTGAGAGTTTGGGATGATTTGATATTTTGTTGTAATTGAATAAATGTATGTATATGAGAGAAAAGTGATTGAGAATTAAAGAGGAAGGAGAAAAAGTGATTAATTAATGTGAAAGAGAGAGACAGTGATTTTAAAAAAAAGAGTGATTTTTAAAAAAAAATTTGGGCAGAGAGTTTAGAAATTTTTTGAATTTGTTTGGTTATATATTTTGAAAGTAGTTTTGAAATTTGAGAGTTTGGGATGATTTGATATTTTGTTGTAATTGAATAAATGTATGTATGTGAGAGAAAAGTGATTGAGAATTAAAGAGGAAGGAGAAAAAGTGATTGATTAATGTGAAAGAGAGAGACAGTGATTTTAAAAAAATTTTGAGAAAAAACACAAACCAAACAAAATTTTGGAATTTTTTTTTTCGAAAACAGCTCTCCCAAAAGCAAACCAAACAAGCCATTGATAATTTATTTTGAAGAAAATTTGAGACGTTTAGCATTTTTTAATGTAAATGTGTAATGTTAGAGATACTATTCATGTGAGATATTTAATTATTTATATTTTAAAAAATTCGAGACCTAAAATATTTTTCAATATAAATTAATAAGAACGTCGATATTAATGGCTTTCCCATGAAAACCCTACAATCAAAGTTTCGAGCCCTATAAATACGGCCTTGTGGAATGTCCAAAAACCATCCACTCCATCCATCCATCTCTCTCTCTCTCTCTCTCTCTCAAAAGAGAAATGACAGAAAGAAAAGAAAACATAGTGATGTTCCCATTCATGGCACAAGGCCATATCATCCCTTTCTTAGCATTAGCACTTGAGTTAGAAAAGAAAAATGGATACACCATAACCTTTGTGAACACTCGACTCAACATCAAGAAACTCCGACCTTCGATCCCTCCAAACTCATCCATTCGCCTCCTTGAAATCCCATTCAACAGCTCCGACCACGGCCTCCCTCCGGATTCCGAAAACACCGACTCTCTCCCTCTCCCTCTCCTCCTTCACCTCATCGTCATCTCTCCCGCTCTCGAGACTGCCTTCCGAGACCTCATCTCCGGCCTCGTCCTCGAACATGGCCGCCCACCACTTTGCATTATTTCTGACATGTTCTTCGGATGGTCTGCCAAAGTTGCTCATGAATTCAGTGCATTTCATGCTATATTCAATGCTGGTGGGGGCTATGGCATGGCTGCTTTTCACTCTTTATGGCTACACCTTCCTTACAAGACAGTGAATTCCGAGGAGTTTCCTTTGCCGGGCTTCCCCAAAGGTCACCGGATTCACACCAAACAGTTACCAGAACATTTTCAAGTGGCAATGCCCGGTGATTCATGGTGCTCATTTTCACAAGATATGTTTCGAGATTGGTTGGAGAGTGATGGGATTTTGTTCAACACCATAGAGGAGATTGACCATGTTGGGATGGAGTATTTTAGGCAGCAAATTGGCTGTTCCGTGTGGTCAGTTGGGCCTATTCTGTCTTCCTTGGGAAGCAAAGCTCGTGCTGGTGATGACGCTGAAGCCACAATGCATCTTTGCATGAAATGGCTTGATTCGAAGCCTGCAAATTCAGTTATTTATGTGGCGTTTGGGTCACAAAGTGCACCATCACCATCACAAACAATCCAGTTGGCCATGGCTTTGGAAGCTTGTGGCAAAAATTTCATTTGGGTGTTTAGGCCACCATCGAACTCAGTCACAGATCATGACCATAATGATGGACAATGGTTTCCGAAAGGCTTTGAGAGGCGTATTCAAGATAGCAACAAAGGGCTGCTAGTGCAACAATGGGCACCTCAATTGGAAATTCTGTCCCATAAATCTCTCTGTGTGTTTTTAACCCACTGTGGATGGAACTCAGTGCTTGAAGCTCTCAGCAATGGAGTCCCAATGCTTTCGTGGCCGATGGGGGCAGAGCAAAACTTCAATGCCAAGATGTTGGAGGAAGAGATGGGACTCTGTGTTGGGTTGGCAAGTGGGAGCAGTGAGGTTAATCATAAAGACATGGTGAAAAAGATTGATTTGGTGATGGGTGGGTCAACTAAAGGGAAAGACATGAAAAACAAAGCTTGTGAGGTTATGGAAATGCTTAACAATGCCAAGAATGATGAGAAAGGGTTCAAGGGGTCCTCAACCAAAGCCATGGAGGATTTTCTGTATGCTGCATTGTCAAAGTCTTGTAATTATTAAACTAGCCTTGCAGATCAGAGTCAAATGATCTAAGGGGGAGGCTGCTTTCAATGTTTTTACATATATATTATTCCAACACATGTGTTTCTGTTTTCTAGTTTCAGTTTAATTGGATTAGAAGGTCAATGCCTTGATTCCAGTTAAACAGAACAAAAATCACTATCTATTTTTTATTGTTGACTTCTGTATTTACACAAATTAATAAAATTTTATTAATTTTTCTTAATTGTTGATGTATAGCTATCATTTATTGATAGGGTTGTAATCGTTCGGTATGGTCGGTATTTAGGTAAAAAATTACACCAAATTGATAATGTTGATTTTATTATTTTAAATACTAATACAGACCGCTTCTCCTATCAAATCGTACCGAACCGATTGAAATGATTTGGTTTGATGCGGTTTAATCGGTTTAGAATTTTTCAAACTTGAATTACTTTTAAATATAATTATTAATCTATACAAAAACATTAAATTAGTTATTTGCCTACCATTTCAAACATATCCAATCTATCCATTTAATACATACTTTTCAATTCCTAAATTAACAAAAATAAAAACAAAAAAAAGTTTAAAAATACTGAGATTTCAAGAACAATGAGTTAGAATTAAAATTATATATAATAAGAGTTTACAAACTTAAATTATAAAGATGATAAATTTAATTAATTAATGTTAATAATTTATTATACATATTAATATCATTATATTATGGGTAAACTATCAATAGGTCCTAACAGTTGGACTTAATTCATATCAAGTCCTATTGAAAATAAGTCTTGGTAAAATTATCGCTAAAAATAATTTTTTTTGGTAACAATTTTTTACATACGTCGCTAAAAATTGACAATTAGTAACTCATTTTTGTCATAATTTTTATAAATTGCCACTAAAACTTACAATTAATGACTTTTTTTATGACAAAATTTTCTCATAGGACCTATTAGACAATAAGTCTACTTATTAGGACCTACACGTAAATACCTTTTATATTATTAGATTATATATATATATATATATATATATTATAAATACAATATATGTTAGAACGGTCGATTTCGGTTTAGATCGGTGTACAAGGTATTTAAACCGATGGCGAACTGAAAATCAAAAAAAATCAAATTTAAAAACTGCATAAACCGATTTTTATTAAAAAATAGACAAAGTATAATTGATTTGGTTCAATTCAATTAGTTTAGTCAATTTTTTATTTTTATTTTTCGTACATCCTTATTTATTGAAGTGGACTAGCTAATAATTTTTTTTTTAATTTATTAATCTGTATAAAATTTTCTTTTTCGAGAAACCCAGTTATATTGTAGTTACATTTAACATTCTTTGAATTTACGCCTATCACCTACATATGCATGTGTTAGCATTGATGTGTGCATGCACGGTTCCACACGCCATTTCTGAATTTTTTAACTTAACCTCACTCTTGTTAAATGTTAACAAGTGTTCTACGGATATTATTTAATATTAGATTGTGTACAAAAAAATATTTTGAAAATATGTTAAAAGATTAAAAAATATATTAGTTTCAATAAAAATGTATTAAATTTAGTAAAAAAATATATTGTGTTATTCAAATTTTTGTCTTTTGCTTATTGCGGGGAAGTATTTTGCGAATGACACCACATAGCCATGATAACTCCGAGATGTCGGCTAAGGTGCCATGTGGATGAGTCTTGTTTGTTGAGGTGACTATGGAATTGCTGAGATGTTTTGCGGTAATGCTAGAATCTCGAAGTATTCGGATAAGGAACAAGAGTCCTAGAACAGAAGAGGCTCTTAGTTTGGATAATGATAAGACTCATGAGGAGTTTATCCCTATCTAGCCGAGAGTCCAAGATGAGCATTGTGTCTGATTCTAATCAAGTGAGGCTTCTAAGGGACTTGGTCACTGCTGGTTATAAAAGTGGGGCACCCTCATAGATCTGAGATAAGTTTTTGACTTGTGAGTTTAAGTATTGCATTGATATCTGTGAGATATAAGATTCACTGACTTAATCGTTGTAGTGCCTCCAAGTGGACAAACCACCGTGGTATTCTCATCTTCTTGTTGGCAGGTAGTTCACTTAACCTATTCTGCCGGTGCTCTCCAACTAAGTTCCCTGTTTGGTTGTGTGGTTGGAAATCAACACCCACAATTTGGCGCCGTCTGTAGAAACTTAGTAGAATAGATGGCCAACAACGGACAAGCAAAGAGAATTAGGGACAACATCCACAGTCAGGAGGAGGAACATATGGATCATAACGCCAGAGGGGAGAACGAAAATGAAGGAGTGTGGGAGTTGAATCTTGGGGCGAATGATGCCGGCAAGAGGCGCAACGGCCCAATGAAGGGATGTTGAGATGAGTGTTACAATGAAAGTGATCCCAAGGTATGGAAGGATAGATGCTTGACAAGGGATAAGGAGATAAAGGACATGGCGAACAAGTTGACAGACCTGCAAACAGTGGTCAATTTTATGATACAAAATAACGTGATGCAACCATCGTTCCCGTTGCAGGACACGCTGGCACCTGTAGCCAAAACTGATGCCCAGAAAAGAGGACAGAAGACAGTCCTAGTTGTCCCACAGCATGGCAAGGGATAGGGAAACTCACATCGGCCGTTATGGGGATGTCGAACGAATAGAGTCAATACGAGGCGAGTTGTAGAGGACACCACGAACCAAGGCGGCCTATGTCAAGGGATCTCGGCAGATCCAAGGGCAAGGCCTCTGTTTTGATGTAGTGGAATAAGGGAAGTCCAAGAGAGCGCACAATTATACATGAAGCAGCAAGCCAAAGAGACTAAAGTCCATTGATAACTAAGCTCCCGGTAGAACGAAGGAGGACCTGAGAGATTACCTCCAAAGAAAAAGACTCAACGCCAAGATCATATCCGACGTCCAGCCAAATACGCCATTCTTGGTGGAGTTCGATATGTTAGAGGCTTCGAAGAGATTCAACATGCTGGGGTTTAAGATCTATGACGATAAGTCTGATCTAAACTTTCATGTTGGTTTGTATTTGAATGAAATGGCTTTGTGGAGTAGGAACGAGCAACTGTTGTGCAAAGTATTTCCATCACCCTTTAGGGAGATAACTTTGGATTGGTTCTATAAACTGTTGAAAAGAAGTGTAAAGAGTTGGGAAGTCCTGACCGAGATGTTTGTGGCCAGGTTTGTTCAAACAAGTCGCAGTTACTAAGGGTAGACTCCCTACTGGCTTTGAAGATTAGCGATGGCGAATGTCTTAGGGCCTATGCTAATAGATACTCCGAGGTTTACAATTGGATCCCGGCTTGTAATCAGGAGCTGGTGGTCGTTTCTTTTAAGAACCGCCTGGATGATGATTGTCCTCTTCCAGAATCACTTGCAAAGACCCTTCCGAAGAGCATGGAAGAGCTTATGGCACAGATTGAGAAGTATGCTAGAGCAGAGGAAGACACGAAAGGAAAGAAGACACCAAAGCAAGAAACGAGAAATGGCTCGCTGAAGCGAGGCTGAGGGAATGCCGGCACTAACAGGCCAGAAACAGGAATGAGGGTTATACAAACAGTCAACACGGTATTCAGGATTCCAATCTATAAGGTTTTGGAGAGGATTAGGAACCAGCCATACTACAAAGCACCGGAGAAGGTTGATGGCAAGTTCATGGGCAGGAGCACTAGGAAGCATTATGCTTACCATAACGAAGATGGGCACATGACTCGGGGAGGCAGGGCTCTGAAGTCACACTTGGAGGATCTGGTTAGGTAGGATCACTTGAGAGACCTAGTAGATGAGGCGAAGACAAGGGAAGAGCATGCGAGGCTGCCTTAGGCACCAGCAACACCACCTCTACCACCACCACCACAACTAGTGGATGGACCTTGGGTAATCAATGTGATTCACTTGAAGGTCAATGAGTTTGAGGAAAGGCCCAAAGAGTAAGGCACTTATAGTATGTATATCAGATACAACAGAAGAAACCTAGAACAAATGAATATCAGGGACCGATGATCTCTTTTACGGAGGCTAACTTGGATATGGTGCAACATTCACATAATAATGCCCTGGTGGTAACCTTGAAGATTGGAGATTTCCAGGTGCGACGCGTACTGATTGATTAGGGCAGCTCTTTGTGAGATCATGTATGTTAGATGTTACAAGGAGCTTGGCCTCCACCAAGATAATTTAGAGCAATCTGACAGCCCAATGGTCGGGTTCAATGGGATGCTGACATCGCCTTTGGGAGGCACGAGTCTAGAGGTGCAAGCAATGAGCAAGAAGGTAATAACGTAGTTTACTATGATAGATACTTCCTCCCTATACAATATCATTTTGGAAAGATTGTGGTTGCATGCAATGAGGGCTATTCCTTTAACACTGCACCAACTATTGCGATTCTCAACTGAACAAGGGATTGAATAAGTAAAGGGGGGGGGGGGAGGACCAAATACAGGTGAAAAATTGCTCCATGGTAGCAATGAAGTACACTTGTAATGTAAGGGAAACATAAAGTGTAAAGATTGAAAGCGAAGACCATGAGGTGTTAGATGATGCAGACAAAGAGCCCTCCAATAAGAGCGAAGAGCCATTGAAAAAGGTTTTGGTGCAAGAAGGTGATGATGAACAATTCTTCCTCCTTGGATCTAGCTTAGCCGTGGAAGAAGAAAGAGAACTGGAGGCTTTCTTGAGAGAGGACATAGAGGTGTTCGCTTGGACACCCAATGAGATGTCGGGGATTAGCCCCGAGGTCACCTGTCACAAACTTAACGTGGATAGGTCGGCTAAACTAGCCGTCCAGAGAGTAAGGAGGCCAACATTGATACATATGCAAGTAGTTGAGGAAGAAGTAGACAAGCTACTAGAGGCACAGACCATCCGAGAAGTGAACTATCCCACCTGGTTGTCTAATACGGTGGTGGTAATGAAAAAGAATGACAAGTGGAGAGTCTGTGTAGACTTCACAAGCCTGAACAAGGCTTGCCTCAAGGACAGCTTCCCACTACCCAAGATTGATCAGCCGGTGGATGCCACATCGGGGCATGGGAGGATGAGTTTTCTAGATGCATACAGAGGGTATCACCATATAGCAATGTATATCCCAGACAAAGAAAAGACTACATTCATCACCCCCAAATGACTCTATTGTAACAAAATAATGCCTATTAGGCTGAAGAATAGAGGAGCGACATACCAAAGACTGGTCACCTAGATGTTCAAACATCTGATTGGGAGGACAGTGAAGGTCTACATTGACGATATGATTATTAAAATCAAGGAACCTGGAAACCATCTGGCTGATCTAAAAGTGGTCTTTGATATATTGAGAACATAGCGGCTTCGACTTAATGCCTCAAAGTGCGCATTTGGAGCTGGATTCGGTAAGTTCCTGGGATATTTAGTAACTAGGAGGGGAATTGAAGCAAGACTAGATCAGATTAAGGCCATCCACGATCTGAAAAGCTCGACAATAGTGAAACAAGTCCAAATTTTGACTGGCAGAGCAACAGCCCTGAAAAGGTTCATCAGCCGAAGTTCAGATAAATGCAAACAATTTTTTTTAGTTATGGAAGAAAGCCACAGACTTTATGTGGACGGAAGAATGTGAAGTCACCCTAGCCGACTTGAAGAAGTACCTGACAACCGCACTAGTGTTGTCGAACCTGGTACCGGGAGAAGAATTGTTCTTATATCTAGTAGTTTCAGACTACACCGTGAGTGCCATGGTCATCCAAGAAAAAGAAGGTGAGCAGAAGCAATGTACTATGTGAGCAAGACCCTGGCAAGTGCAGAAACCCATTACCTTCCCCTGGAGAAGTTAACATTGGCCCTGGTAATGGCCTCGAAAAAGTTGAAGCACTACTTTCAAGCCCATAATATTGTGGTGCTAACTAAGTATCCACTAAAGTCCTTGTTGCAACATGGGGACCTAACAGGCAGAGTAGGTCGATGGGCTGTAGTTCTAGGTCAGTATGACTTAGAATTCAGGCCAAGAACAGCAATTAAGAGTCAAGTTTTGGCCGACTTTGTGGCAAAATTCTCTCCTGGCACAATCCCAAGGCGACATTGATAAGCCGAGGCCTTGGATGTCCAGGAGAAGAAGAGGAAAACCAACTGGGGCCATAGAACCCCACGTCTGCAGAACAAAAGAAGGGAGAAGAAAGGCTAAAACCCTGCAATATTTACATCAGTGACTCTTTCCGCCTCTTTGTCGATGGTAGCTTAAACCAACAAGGAGCAGGGCGAGGAGTGGTTTTGGTATCACCAGACGGGCGAATGATAGAATAGTCCATCCGTTTAGGGTTTAAGGCCTTAAATAATGAAGCCGAGTACGAGGCACTGATTGTTGGGTTGAAACTAGCAGCAGTTATGAAAATCGACGAGGTGGTAGTGTTCTGTGACTTTTAGCTCATTGTAAATCAAGTGGAAGGTAAGTACGTAGCCTGGGATGAGAGGATGATAGCCTATGTCAAGGAGGTTGTCAAGTTGTTAATACATTTCAAAAGATGTCGACTACAGCAGGTTAGCCAAGATGATAACAGCCACGCTGACGCCCTGGCTAACCTCGCCAACATGATGAAATTAGGTAAGACAAGGATGATAATGGTGGATTATCTGTCAGGCCCAAGTATAAAGCCCATAATAACAGAGTATGAAGCAATATGCGTGGAGATGGGTCCAAGCTAGATGGATGCCATACTTGTGTTCCTCAGGGATGGTAGGCTACCAGCAGACAGAAAGGAAGTGCACAATATCAGATTGAAATCGGCCAGGTTCTGCCTGTTAGTAGAAGGCCATCTGTATAGGAGACCCTTTACTGGACCACTTCTGCGATGTGTGCACCCATCCTAAATAGAGGACTTTTTGTATGAAATCCATGAGGGAATATGTGGAAGCCACGCAGGTGGCAAATCACTTGTCCATAGGGCCATATCTCAGGGATACTGGTGGCCCTATATGCAGAAGGACGTTGAAGCCTATGTAAGGAAATGCGAGAAGTGTCAAAGGTTTGTACCTTTGATACACCAGCCAGCTGTAGATCTGAATCTAGTGTCCAGTCCCTGGCCATTTGCCCAGTGGGGCATGGATCTTGTTAGGCAACTGCCCCAGGCTACTAGATAGAGGGAAGTTTTCACTGGTAGCAACTAACTATTTCCCGACATGGGTAGAGGTTGAACCTTTAGGCAAAATCCAAGATGTGGATGTAAAGAACTTTATTTGGAAGAACATAATCAACAAATTTGGAATCCTAAGAGCCATAATAGCAGATAATAGCACTCAATTCGACAGCTAATTGATCAAAAACTTTTATGCGAAATACAAGATCAAGAACTATTGTTCTATTCCTAGCTTCCTCCAAAGCAATGGACAAGCAGAGGCATCCAACAAGACCATCTTGGATGGAATCAAGGAAAGACTGGAAGTTGTCAAGGGTACGTGAGTGGAGGAATTGCCTAATGTCCTAGGGGCATATCAGACTGCGCCGAGAAGATCTACAGGAGAATCTCCTTTCGCTATAGCATATGGAACTGAAGCAGTCATTCCACTAGAGATCAACATCCCTGGAATTAGAACCCTGGGAATGGAGAATAGAACGAATGAGGCATTCCTTACCCGAGATCTTGATCTGATAGAAGAAAGAAGGGAGAGAGCAACAATTCAGCTGGAGGCATACTAGCAGCAGCTTACTAGGGCACACAACAAAACGTCAATCTCAAGGAGTTTCAAATTGGGGACTTTGTCCTAAAGAAGGTTTTCAACAATAAGAAAGATCTAAATGAGGGCAAGCTTGGCCCAAACTGGGAATGACCATATCGGGCAATGGAGCTTACTAGCTTGAGAACATTGATGGCAAAAAGCTGCCAAGACCCTAGAACACAAGCAATTTGAAGTTTTTCTATCATTAATTTCTATTTTTTAAGTTTTTCCCTATGTAATGGCTTATTAGCCAAAGTATTAATGAAATACTAGCTTGATTTTGTCTTACGAAAATGTTGTTGAAAATTATGTGATAAGATTGTAAATTTTTAAGGCGATGTTCCTATGGTGAACATGATGATTACCTTAGACTTGCCATGATGGTAAAGTTAAACTAAGTCTGCGATGTTTTGGCATGAAACATGACGATTAACTTAGACTTTCCATGATGACAGAGTTGAACTAAGTCAGCGATGTTTCAGTATGAAAGAAGGTGATTAACTTAGACTTACCATGATGGTAGAGTTGAACCAAGTTAGTGATGTTTTGGCATGTAACAAGGCAAGATTTGCCATAATCTGGTCAGGGTGTAAGAAAAGCTGAGGTAAATAAGTACTCTCAGTGTACTAAGATTAAGCCTTAAGTGCTTTGTTTAGGCGAGCCAAACATGACGACCTCGGTCAAGAATGTCTAAGGAAGACTTAGCCGATAACCAGGTGAAGCGTCCTTAATGTGAACATAAGTGGTACTTAGGTTTCCATTAGGGGGCAGGAAATAGGAATGAGCATAATACTTGTGAAAATGTTTGGAAAATTTTACAA